ACATTCCTGTGCTGCTTCTAACTTTGGCTTCAACTGGAACTAAAATAATGGGTCAACACACAAATGCTAATAATTAGCTTGTGGCATACACAGCAACAATATATCCATCCGTACATGTACACATGCAGCATACAGAGAGAAATTCATTCTCGAAATAACTCTGGCTAGCACCTTCATTTAAAAAAAGAAAAAAATATATTTTTTAAAAAGAATTGGAATTGAGAATCATTGAGACCTGGAATCAAATTGAGGAGAATTGTAAACGGAATCGTCAATGCCCAACCGTACTGAAGTCTGCTATTTTTTCATCACGTTTAGCCTACTTGGAAAAATCTTTGTTTATGGAGTGTGTTGTGGCAAGACTGACAATTTTTTTCTTTTTTTTTGTGGTGAGCTCATGTTGCTGGAAACTAGTCCAGTTTGAACGTGATACAGGGTATAGTGTTTAACGTTCCAAAGTATACAGTGGTTCCTTCAGATGCGAGTTTAATTAGTCCCGTGACCACACTCGGATCGCAAATCATTGTTCCCCATTGAAATGAATGGAAATGTAACTAATATGTTCCAGCGACCCCACAAACAACCAAAACATTTTTTTCTCGCGTTTCTTTAATGAGGCAAATATTGTCCCTACACCGCAAGAAAAGCATTGTGAATTGACGGTGGCCGGATGGAGGTTATGTTGTGCACCGTATGAAGCGATAAAGCTCTTATTAGCTTTACGGAGAAACTGGCTAATTTCAGTGAATCACAGTTTAGTATTAAGACACCTAGGAATGAACAAAAACAAAACGGTGTCAGATATGATAAATATTTTATTTCAGCAAAAGACACACACTTGATGCATTTGTATCTTTCATGACTTTTCAGTACAGAGGAAAAACCCAAACATATACACAGAATGGGTATATATGTATGTGGGTATATTTTAAAGTGCAAGTCATTTACACAAGGTCAATCATGCGTTACATAGCATCTGTATCAGGAACTTCAGTTCAAACCTCAATAACTTTGAGTGTGCTATTGGAATAGTAAAATAACTGTCACTTATATATATGTCTATATCTATATATATATCTGTATTTATATAGATATATATACATATGAATACAAAATAAACTTTACAAGTCACTGAAGCTTTTTTTTTTTTTTTTTAATTTTTCCCCCGCTTTTGCTGGAGCACACAACGACAATCAATCACGATCAATCTGTTTCAAGTCTTGAGAGGAAAGAGTACCATGACGTGTCAGGAGAAAACCGTTTTCGCACAGCTCGCCGCCGTGACGCCCTCGTCGCTCGAATCTGCAACGCAAGCTAACCGAAGGCCCGCGACCACTCCTGTGCGCGTGCTACGTGTTTGTTTGCTTCTTGGTCCCTCCCCATGCAAAAGTAGCCTTTGCGTGTCACGTGGGCGTGGCCTCCTGCCAGCAGACATTCAGTAAACAGTTACATTCTCTGAAAACTACCGTTACACTGGACTTGGTGAGGGAAACAGTCACTTTGCCCGAGAAGTAATTGACACACAGGAATGTCCAACAGGAAGTCACCATGACGACAGACAAGACACGTGGGTGTCGCCAATAAGTGGGCAGCAGCTGTTTGGGTTGAGGGATTAACCCGTGATGGACAAAACACACACACACGCACACACACGCACACACACACAAACACACACACACACACACACACACACACACACACACACACACACACACACACATATGTATCATGTATGTTTCAATGCCCTTTATAGTGGTCAAGATGGAAAGGAGAAAAAAAAGTGCATATTGAACATAAAATAGTAGGATAGCATTGGACTACAGTGTGACGACAGCTCTTAGATGCTCAAAGGACACGCCATTGACTGAGCTGAACAATCACCGTGGAGCGCTTTCGTTCACCGCGTGAACAAAAGGTCCATTTCTGTGTCGCCGCGAAAGCCTTTGCGTCGGAGATCATTGCATAGTTTGGAATTCTCAACATAGTCTCGGAGTCGGCGCTGAAAAATAATCATTCCCGGTGAGACAAAATGAGATCTTGTCACGTTTGTGCTTCCCCCTGGTCACTGACGCTCGCTTCTTCACGCAGGATTGCGATCAGCTCGTTGATTGTTTTCCTCAATTAAAATCTGCACGTCAAATTGTATCAAGAATTTTGGTCTTTACGGGTGGAATCATGTTTGATTTTCACAGTTTTGATTGACATTATCAAGACGGGTCATGAGTTTGTTATTGCGGGTGTCGTGTGGAAAATTGATTTGATTCACAACAGTGGGCCTAATTGAGTTGCCTTGTGTGGGCCAAATTGTCTATAGATGTGGTATTTTACGTCTGTCCAACACTTAGGCCTACTGCACATCTGTATTTTTTTCTTGATGGTCATTCTGGTGGTAATCGGAGCACTCACTGTTGTTTTTGTGTAGGCAGCATGATAAGTGGCAACTATCAATGCAGAATTTTCTTTAAAAAAAAAAAAAAAAACTAAAAAAACACGGAATTAGTACTTCAAATCCTGTAAAATCCTCCATAACAAGTATTCACAAAAAAAAAAACGTTTATATTAATATTTTTAGGTGGGATTTAAAGCTTAAAAACTGTTCTAGAGGTTCCCCGTGATTGACTGGCGACCAGACTGCCCGGCCAGTCTCGGTTATTGAAAGACTCTAAATCGCCCACAGGTGTGAGTGTGAATCGTTTGTCTAGATATGTCCAGCGTCAATCAAAACTGAGCGTTATTACCCTTGTTAGAGGCAGAATTGTCGATCCAACTTCTCTGTTGGCTCAATTAACCTACTAACCTAATTTCATCAAATTGTTTTGAAAGGAGCTGAACCCAAGCCTAAAGATGAAGAAACATGGGGCCGTTGCCGCCGCCCCCACTTCCTTTGAGACAATGTGACAAACGGGTGAGCTCAAGGCTCCAAGACTGCCTGCCTCCTCCTGTCGACAAGGTAACGGTGCCAAACAAACACCAGCATGGGACTTCCTATCAGGGGCGATTGTCTGCATAGGCTATGAAGGGCTCCACAGACTGTATTTGTCAAAAGGGGGAAAAAGAGCAACTTTAAGTGTTAACAGACAAGAGCGTTACCAACAGGCCAGCTGCTCACTCGACTGCGTTTCCAATTCTTCAGTGACAAATGGACGCATGGATTCCGTCATCCAAGACGTCCATGCTGATGTTTGCTTGACCCCCCCGATGCATCCAAAGTGCTTTGTAGCAGCCGCAATGCAACGCGTCGCCGTGGTCCCATGTGAGTTGATCACCTGACTTGAATGACCAACTTTGTTCCCCTATGGCCAGCACAGAGTCATGACACGGGTCCCATTCAGTCTTTTTTTTTTTTTTTGGCATATAGATGTTCAAATCAGAGCCATAACTGAACTGCTTGTTTGAAGTGAATTAAACCTACACTATGTGCATTGAAATAAGACATTAAATAATAGAGTAGGAAAATAAATATAATTCCAAGAAGGCTTTTTTTTTTTTTAAGTGCTTTTTTTTTTTTTTTTTTTTTAAATAGTCACTCTAAATCTCGAACCCCGGGGAAGCGAGCGCCTCACCCTCAGTTTAGCAACATAAACATAGTGCCTTTGACGCCGGAGAGCTCAACAGTCGTATGCATTGTAATGATATGACGGACAGATTTGGCCTCACGAGCTTCGTGATGATTGCGAACGACACATGCCACGACTAATGGCTACATCTGTCATCAGAAAACAAACACCCTAATAATATGTGCTATATCTGTACACGAGTATTTTGGTATTTCATGAAAAGCATTCAGGGCAGTTTTGAAGTTGGGTCTTTTGTTTTCTTGTTTTTTTTTTTTTGGTCAGTTTGAGGTAACCTCTCAAAGGTTCCGGTGACCCACGCTCTCTTCGTAGAAGGCTAGCTATGGCTGTCTCAGATTACCTATAGGATACAGTACATGTAAGAGTTAGCATCGTTAAAAAATACACGTGAAGGTGATCTTCACATCTCATGCTCACAATTTGACTGGTCTCATCACGAAAATATTGGATACATCTAAAGTAACACAAACCCCCCCTCCCCCATCCTCCCCTTGTGGATGAACCAATAAATCTATCAATGGATGACTTTTACTTGTGCTTGGAGGAGCCAAAAGAGGGAGAAAAGTGATTCGAACAAACGGTCCCCGTGACTGCCTGGGACCGAGAAAATCGCTATTTCAATTTGCAGCATTAAAGTGGCGGAGTCCAAAGTGATATATGCCTGTTTGTGCTCTAGAGCAGTGGTTCTCAAACTGGAGTCTGTGAACTGGAGTTTGGGCTCAGCAAAATAATGAGCAATAAATTACGTTGTCTTATATTTTAAAAAGTGCATACCGATGTGGCGTGTCTGAGAAGTTCCAGGATTGGTGTCACAATCCTCCGTACCCCAAACTATAAATTTTCCATTGAACAAACAGGACAACTTCTGGCTTATTCACCATGACAACACACCTGCTGACAATGCCCTGAGCATGTGACAGTTCCTGGCCAAGAAGAGCATCCTAGTGAGAAGAGCATCCAAGTGCTGGAGCAAACGGGGGTCATCAAGAGGACCCGTTTCAAGATGCGAATGACATCAAGATGGCCTTTCAGGAGTGCATGAAGGTGTGGCAAAGAAGACTGGGGAAAGTACGTTCAACTTCAGGGATATTACTTCCATTGGGGAAAAGTGTATTTGGGATGCCAGTCCTGAAACATTTCTGACACACCACTTCTCTACCTTAGCTCTGAGCCAATTGAAAAATTGTGTGTGTGTGTGTGTGTGTGTGTGTGTGTGTGTGTGTGTGTGTGTGTGTATATATATATATATATATATATATAACTAAGTCACTTTTGTAAAAAGAAAGGCATTGTATCACAAACTCAACAATGCATTTTTGAAATTCACTTGTTAATATAATAATATGACGAATTTGGAAAAATGTGAATTTGTTCTCAGAAGATTACGACTTCTTTCACCGACAAACGAAGTCTTTTTTTTTCTTCAAAAAAAATTCTCCTATTATGACATTTGTTCTCAAAAATAGGCAATTTTTTTACTTTGTATGGCATTTAACACACATGGTCGTTAGTTTTAAATGGCATTGGAATTTTAAGGGGGGGGGGGCTCTTCTCCCTTAGAAGTTTGAGAAACCCCTACTCTAGAGATAGAAACCACAATGGCTGTTTTTTTTTTCTTCTTTTTTTGTACTTGGCATGAAGACCTTTTAAGGATTCATCTCATCTGGAGGAGATGAAGAGTGAACAAGGCTGCGGGAGTGATGGATGGAGGGGGGTGGGTGGAGGGATCTCTCAAGCCTTAAACGTTGGATATACAATATAGCAACAATCGAATCAACTCTCGGGGCGGTCCAGCATTCCCTGGAGGTGCATATTTGTATAACTCCCAGACGAGTGGGGGAATGAATGGGGTCACCCCGAGGGAATAGAGGAGCGATTCGGACTTGGAGTGCAAAGAAGAAGTTAGGAGCTGTCACTGGCTGAGCGCTTTTTGCCAAAATGACCGGCAGGGTCTCTGTTTCGCAGATTAGGCTGGATCTTGTACATAGGGGGTCCCACGGACCAGCGCCAGCTCCCGCGAGCCTCCGCTCCGGTCGGGGTGGCGGCGGCGGCCGCCGCCTCGGCCGTGGACGCGCACGGTTTGTTCTGCAGGAGCTGTATCAGCATGGTCATCTCCGGGCCCATCCGAGACACCATGCTGGCCCTGACGCGCTCCACCGTGTCCTCGTCACAGTCCATCAGGCTCTGCAGCAGCCTCCCGTAGAACCTGAGGCCATAAAAACACGTTCACCGCTCAAGGCCGAGGGGGGGCGCCGGTGTCTCGTCCAAATGTCCGATTCCCCTTTCGTACAACACACCGACAAACGAGACGCGCCGTTGAATTCTATTTGCCTTCTTCCCGGCTGCATTGAGCAGATGGTAACCAAAACATGCAAGTGAATACAACGTGAGCCATCTGTTATGCTACATAAATCCAGGTCAAAGGGGCATCCGGTGTACAACATTTAGATTTGCTGAACCAACAACAGCGCTGTAACGCTACTTTTGCGGTGAGGACTCTCCAAACAAGGGCTCTATCTAGGGCACACATGGCCTATAGGCGTCTAATAAGGAGTAAGGCCAGGAACACGTCTCTAATTGACCACTTTTACTTTCAGTAAGGAGTAAGCTAGAGTTACACGATTTGCAAATTGATAACCCAATTCGTACCTTATTCTCGTCACTGTGCATTACTATTGTGGGAAAGATGAGTTGCTTACGAACAGTTCAGGCTTTAATGACCAATCAACAAAAAAACGACACTCAGTAAGTCAGTAGAGATAAACAAGATGTCACTACACCAAACACACCCTGAAGTCAGAGTGAAACAAAAATCAAATAAACATGCGACATAAATACAACCGCACGGGTAGTAAGTTTGCACACACATTCTAAGACTAAACACAAACAAGTAAACCATAAGTCTACCAATTAACATTATTTCATGTGTAGAAAGGGCTGTTTGTTTGTTTTATCAATGTTGTTGAAGGTACTATTTTTTGTGGGTCCTTTCGTGGGAAAAATCGAGAGTGATAAGTTATGATATTGCAAATGCCGCAGTTAATTAACTCAGGGAGCTAGCACTATTTTTGATATCAGTGGAACTTATCTTCTCCTCAAGTGTACGTCACTGATAAGTAAGTCGCCATTTTGTGTGCGTACAAATTTTAAATTGGCAAACTTAAGTCTGTACAAACATGCTATGTGCTAAGTTAGCATGGATACCGAGTTTGGTGCTACGTTAGCTTAGCGAGTGCAACAATTTATGT